CTTCCAAAGGGAACTATTTGCAAGTCATTATCTGTTTCCTCATCCGTTCATTCTTCCAATCACTTGTTGCCCTTCCTTTTCTTCCCCCCACCGTAACCTGCAAGCCTCTATTTTTTTTCTGTAACCTCCAGATAGCTTTTAAGTTTCCGTATGTCGCTGGGGAGTTGGATCTTCATTCTGAAGGCTCATGTGTATACACATTAAATACAACGTGGATGCCTTTTCTCCTATTAATCAATTGGCCTTATGCTGGTGATTTTTCAGTGAACCTTTAGGGAGCCAACAGTCATGCTCCCATGGATAGGGTACTAATATAGGAGTCAAGAGGGGGGACTACTTTGCTTCACAAACCTAGGTGCTTCTGAGTCTTCGTTTTATCATTTTCCAAATATAAAGACAATAAAATCTGCCTATTTACTAGGGTCAGGATGATAATCAGATTAAGCATTATATATATATTATATATATAACATATATATATATATAATATATATATAATGCTTTTCTTTCCTTCTGATGACTGTTCTCTGATCAGGAGCATGACCCCTGACCAATGCGGTCTGTGCTGGGTCAAGGTGCTCTTGGGTCTATGCACACGGTGTACTCAGGACTGTTACTAAGACATTAAACATGCTTGGTCTTGTTTCTTTGCATGTAATGCTATTATTTGTGTCTTGATCTCTTTCCCATACTGGGAGTATATATATAATCTCTCCCAACTCTATAGGGGTGCAGAAAGTTTTGTATTGACCAATCACCACCAACCCCTCCTGTTAGTACTAATAAACTCATATCTTTACCACCTTGTTCTTCGGGTGATTTCTTCAGAATAAGTAAACATTTCAAGAGCACTCTGAATTGGTGCTCCCACAATACACCAACCAATTTGTAAAATTTATGCTTTTGTTTCTTGTTTGTTACTGGCACATTTTCCTAGATAGAAGTTGCTCCACCATGCTAAAGAGGAGTAGAAATGATAGAGAACATAGCTGGAGCTAAACATGATGGATATGATAGCTATATAAGTAAATAAAAATCATATTAGTTTTGAATCACTGAAACTTTGGGTTTTTGTTTGCATCCATAAAAAGACCTAGCTATACTTTTCGATACCATAAGTAAAGAATTTAAGATAAATGACTTAAGTGCTTGACTCAATATTAAGTGCCACAGTAACTGTTTTTTTTGTTTGTTTGTTTGTTTTGAGTTGGAGTCTCACTGTGTCGCCCAGACTGGAGTGCAGTGGCACGCTCCTGGCCACCACAACCTCGCCCTGCTGGGCTCCGGCTATTCTTCCGCCTCAGCCGTCCAAGTAGCTGGAACTACAGGCATGCAATACCACGCCCAGCTAGTTTTTGATTTATTGTAGAGACAAGATCTCTCTAAATTGCCCGGGCGGGTCTCAAACCCGCGGGCTCAAGCAATCCACTTGCCTTGGCCTCCCATAGTGCTGACATTACAGGCTGAGTCACTTAACCTGGCCCACAGTAACTGTTTACCACCATCATCCCTTGGTAAACATAGGGAATTGAGTTCAGGCTCCTGCTGTATCTCACAGATGCTCACAGATCTCACAGATGCTCAATTCACAGGTGATTGTGCAGAATCTTTTGTATATGAAAAGTTGGCCTTTTGTATAGGTGGGTTTTGCATCCCATGAAAAATCCACAAAGAAGTGAGGTCTGCACACTCAACCCCTGTTGCTCAAGGGTTAACTGAATTATAAGAATGAGCCTGGCGATGATGATACAAAGGAATTTTAAATCTAAGAGGAATATACTAATGGCAATAGGGTGGAACAATAGAAATGTAAGCTATATAAGGGTAATTTGGAAGGACATTATGCTTTTGTGGAGAAAAGAGAAAGACTTACATATTTGAGTATAATGCACAGTTTTAGTTAATAGTGTTGCCTCATCTGTAGTATAATGAAGACAGATTAAACATTCAGGGGGCCAAAGAGGGACAAAGTCGTTGTGGTGAACATATTTTATTGATTTATTTATTTATTGATGCAAGAGGAACTTTTATTGATTTATTTATTGATGCAAGAGGAACTATACCCGATGGTGTGCTGATAAATGCATAACAACCAGCTCTGTAGTGGAGGGCACTGATTTGTGGCATTTGTGATAAATATGTTCACAAGAGCCAGTTCAAGCTAACAACATGATATGACTGAACGTAGAGTTGAAAAGAGATGCACACAACTGACTTATGATCCCGGTGTGATCTGGCTCCACACATTACTGTAACAAGTTTTACTTCTAGGTCACAATTATATATGATCATGCTTTTGAGCAAGGTCAACCAACTCTGGGGGAAAAATTCCATCTGAAACTAACCCTGATCAGCACATGAGGTTTGAGAAAGCAGAGGTCTGATAACATTTTCCAATATGGAAACCATCATTACAGCAGGTAGGCAAAACAGCATTAATACACTAAGGAAAACCAATACTTTTCCAACAATCTTTAGATACGAGTGGAACATGCTTAAAAGGGAGAGGGGAAAGGGGAGAAATAAAGATTGTTGTCTAAAAAGAAATCACTTTTATCACAGTAATAACAGATTATTTTGAAGCCAATTTGCTGCTATCTTCAAAAATATATTTCCTCATAAATCCTGTCTTTTTAAATTGAAAAGTAAATCAGCAGTAGGTAGTGCTTGAATATGAAAAGGACGAGAATGGAGAAGCTGCAGGCAGCCAGAGTACCTCTAGTGCATCTTATTAGAAGTCTTTGGAAGAGCAATTTGATGGAAGCTTTTTAACTTTTAGTTCACTACTTTAAATTCAGTTTCAGTTGATCATGAACAAAAGTGGGTGGCTAGTAGCCTATGAAAAATACCTTCATGGTGTCACCCTCATTCTTTCTAATAGAGACTGCCACTGCCATTGGCACATTTTTTTCACTTCTACCAGAGCACAGAGGGTGAGTAGAAATGTCATTTTCAAGTATTTTTTCTTTTGACCTTTATACCAGAGAAATTTGAGATATGAAAAAAGCCAACTTCTTTTCATCTTTAACTCATAGGTAGAATTATTCAGCTATAATATGGTTCCTAGATCTTTCTGGAACTTATTAAAATGAAACCTGAGTCATATTACAAGCAAAATTATGTCTTACCTAACAGAAAGTTAAATCCTAAAAAGGCACATTCTTTAAAAAATGTTCAAATGTAAAATATGTATAAATTTTTATCTAAATCTCTCAAATCCAAGATTTATTTTTTTTCTTTCTCTTTTCTGCTATTCTTGTTTCAATAAGTACATTCCCCTCAGTATAAAGGCAAATATCTTTGATTTTTCCATTCCTTATCATTACAATAATTTGACCAGCATTTTTTTCCTCCTAAAGAAACCATAGATCATTTTTTCTCTTTTTTTAATTTGTCTACTAAAATCTTCCAAATTTTCTTACTACTAATGTCTCTATCTTCTAAAATTTTGCTTCCCAAATGTTTTGATTAAGTTAACAATTAAAGCAAACTCTCTCTAATTATCTGGAGAAAAGCAACAAAATAGAATATCACAGCAGAGACACAGATAAATACATGGTAATGTCAACCAAACGTTGATAGCCACAGGTAGGATGTAATGGAAATAGTCTTGTTTTAGAAGTGAAGAAAATGCAATCAATTGGTCTTAGGTAACAGTTACTTTCTTTGAGTTTACTTTTCACATCTGGACAAGGAGATTGATATATCCTATTTAAAAAAAAATTCTTTTCAATACAAACTTTCTGTGGTATCTTCACTTTTACATCATCAGGATTTGCGTGATGGGTTTTGAATAAGATGTAGCTGTGCCATGAGGTACCCCATGTGATGGTAAGGATTGTGGATGGGATTTTTCTGGGTCAGTCATGTTATAATCTTTCCTAACCTTCAAGGCTAGCTGCAACTTCTGCCATTCCCATGCAACAGCAGGAGAGGATAAAATCTGTTCCATGAATATTCATATGTAAAAGAATGTCATATTATAGCTCTCATAATTGTTATAGCAAGTAACAGTTATCAACACTATATTTAGCACAACTTGAAGCTGCAAATTTAGTAGAAGACAGAGCATTTCCTGGTCAAATGTACTTTGGTCAGAAATACTAGAAATATGTAACAGTGAAAATCCAAGCAAATATTTTACAAGTAACTCATATGCCCATGAGCCTCTAGTGGCAATTGAAAACATCAAATAAAACTACCCCTTCTTGTAAACAAATAAACTGAGGCAGAGCAATTGCAAACTTTACCTGTGGTCATAACATGAAGTCTGCTTCAGGCTGAGCTCAGTGGTTCAGCCTGTAATCCCAGCACTTTGGGAGGTCAAGGTGAGTGGATTGCCTGAGCCTGCGGGTTTGAGAACCACCTGGGCAACTTGGCGAGACCTCATCTCTACAATAAATCAAAAATTAGCCAAGCGTGTAGC